CAAAATGCTACACTCTCATTAAACTAACATTAGACAAAAGTTCCTGCAGTCAGCTCTGACAGCGTGTTAAATCTTTGGCCAATCTTGGTGGACATGCGGCATGAGTAGCAATGGGAGGTAAGAGTAACTATAGCCCAGCGTTGTACAAGCACACTAGGCAATTTCCTAGAAAGGCACTGGTCAGTAGACATAATGGTTTTTCTCAATGCTCTCATCCATGGACAGTTCCCCTCAAAAACTGAGACTATGCACTACAATTCTTTGGAACATTACCAGAAGCCAACCTATCAAGGACAATAGCAAATCTTCAGGCATTTCTTGACCAAAAACATCCCATTTACTAGTCAGGGCTATTCATATCTCATAGAAGACATTGTAACAATTTCAACAAGGACATTAGATTTACATTGGCCCATTACATTTGTAGGTTTGACTTCTGTGGATTTGATTATTACAGATTTGATTGATGTTCTCTCTAGAAATCTCTAGGTGAGATTCTATGTTCAGCATGCACTGGAAGTTGACCATGGAGTCATGCTGGAGGACCCAGACATTCCCAGAGAGATGTTCCCAGAGAGATGTCCCAGAGAGAGTTAAAAAAAATGTGGGTTTTTTTTCATTTTCACTTTTCAACTTCCATGGGGGGTCTCATGCCCCTACGCCCAGTGACTGTGGAGGGCTGACTATAGTTTTAGTTCCACTGGAGACAGAGGGTTCATTCAGCATTTAAAAGAAGCTGGATAGAAGTGCCTGTTCAGTATTTGTGTTTTAATGTCCACTTCTAAAATTTTAAAATGATACTCAGATTAATCATTCACCAAAGTGTACAAAGCTCTTTGAGGGGAGAGGGATAACAAAGGGGAAACATAGTATGAAGTGTATGTAATATTACTATGCCAAGACGGAGCAGGTAGCACTCATTTCAAAAGTAGAAATCTTGGATTCATCTGTAAACTAATTATATGATATGTAATTATAGATGTAACAATAGTGAAAAGATGAACCTGCCATCTATGAAACATGTGCCAAAAATATTTGACCTGCAACCTTTTGGAAGTAAACCTGAAAACATTAGTACTTTAGCCAAGTCTTACTCACTTTGAATTGCCACAGGCTAATAAATATAAGAAAGTGTGCTCTCTCTCTCTCTCTGGCATGTAATTTTAATACAGTTGGGTGAGAATGGTTTGTTTCGAAAGCACTTGTTTCCCTCTCCCGTCTGGTACACACTTTGTTTACTGTACATAAAAAAGCCAAGAAAATTGCCTGTTATGGGTTTCTTCCTTGTTTAAACTGGATACAAACGCAGTCAGACCAAGACAAGGGGTGTCATGCTAATGTGAACTATGCAAAAGAGACTCCTTGCAAATTCGCCTATCATATTTCTTTGATGAATCAAATCCTGAAAAATCAAAGGATCAGTGTTGCTATTTAACATTTGAGGCTGTATCCCATATTAATAATTTCTTTTCCCATTTTATCTTCCATTGAAGTTAAACAAATTAAAAATACTGAATATTCACTATAATATGACAGTATAATTCAATCAGGCTTGAAAAGGAGGGGGGTTGGGGTTCAACATTCCCCCCCCCCCCCGAAATTTTTCAGGTTAAAAAAACCTTATTTTTGGCTATTTTTGGCCTTACTAGCCTTGCATACCTTGTATCTTATACCTTTTATGGAGCAATAAGGGACTGTATTAAAAATGTTGTTGTTGTGTTATCGAACTACTCTTCATGATTTGCTAAAAATATTTTTCACCACCCCCCCCCCCCCCCCCCGAATTTTTTTTCTGGCTATGGCTCTGAATTCAATCATAGATTTCCATCCAACCTCTTGGTTCAAGTCTACATTTCTGAAAAGAAAGAAATGAAACAAGCACAGTCCATTCCATCATCTTCAAGAAAAGTGATGTACACATCAATCCAATGATTCAGATCGGAATGCTTCACAATGTTTGAACATCACAACAACTCAGTACATACGGTCTGTGGTCCGGACCCCAATTCCGGCAATGTAGAGCATCAGAATCCTATTTTCTCACTCTCAGTATTGTTAAACATATTCGACAATCACAAGTTTCTTTGGGGAAAAGATAGGATTCAATATTGAGTAAATGGCTGCTAAATTTCTAAATCGATACAAAGACTATAAATATGCATAGCAGAGCTCAGTGTAGTATTTGCTACACAAAGAGCTGAAGAGCCATACACTCATACACCAGCAATGAGGGTTTACAGAAATTGTGAGTCAAAACTTTGGGAAGAATCAGGTAATCTATTGAAACAATGAAGTATACAAAGGTCTCCTGAAGCAATGAGGAAAGACAGGGAGAGAAGCTAATCACACAAGACCCTGTGAAAACCAACAGTAACATCAGAAGGCATCCACACTACAGAATTACTGCATTTTGACACTACTTTAATGGCCGTAGCTCAATGCTATGGAATCATGGGAGTTGTAGTTTGGTGTAGTACCAGCACTCTTTGACAGAGAAAGCTAAAGCCCTTGTTAAACTTCCATGAATCCATAGCATTGAGCAGTATTGCCAAGATGCATTCATTCTACAGTGTAGATGCACCACCTAGTCACGTAGTTTTGGAGGACTGAGAATTCAAGGTAACAAGGTAACAAGCAGAAGAGTTTTATTCTGCACATTTGTGGATACATGTTCAGTCATCACCCAAAGAATCCAAAGGAACAGGAATGGGGAGGAAGTCTTGCCAGAAGCCTTAAGAAGTATGTTGCCTGATAAGACAATCTTGAGGTAGATCCACTAATGTATGGAAGCTTCTTGTCTTGTCAGGGGTCACCAAAATAAATAGCTAAAGAACTACATATAGGAACTGTTCTTTCAGTTGGCTGAACACTAAATTTAAAAGTGCTTCAGTCTACCAAACACTTAAGATTTTCCTTAACATTAAATAACTTACAATAAAATAAAGAAAACACATCCATACCAACTCATTTTGATGCTGACTATTCCAAGAAGATATGCCGGCATGTTCACACAACCTCTTTCCTACATACACACAATCTTAAACCTTTCATCAACAAACCTATCTATAAGCACAAGTTATTGCCACAAAATTTATAGAAGTTCCTGATGCCTCAAGTCTTAATAACTCCACCCACAGAAACTGGAAGTGCTTTTTCCTGACAGAAATCTGGCTTTGTAGCAAATAACCTCAGGGACACTTCCTGCTAATCATCGCATCTGAAGCCCACTTCCATCTCATGCCTTTGAAATTTGAACTCTAAATCCAATCTTGGGAAAGCTTTTTTCACAGGATAACTCCCAGAATCTTCCAGCTGAGGATTCTGGGATCTTCAGTTTTAAAAAGGTATCTTAAAGAAGTCCTGGCATTTTATATATGTGTGTGTGTGTGTATACACACACACACACACACACAGAAGTCAATCTACATTGCAGAATTAATGCAGTTTGACAACACTTTAACTGCCAAGGCTCGATTGTATGGAAACCTGAGACTTGCAGTTTGATAAGACATCAACACACTTTTGTAGAGAATGCCAAAGACTCTGTAAACTACAATCTCATGAGTTTATAGCACTGAGCTATGACAGTTAAAGTGATGCCAAACTATATTAATTCTACAGTGTAGATGTACCTTAAGCTGCTTTGGGATTCCAAAGGCAAAAAAGTTACACCTGTATTTGGAAGACAAGTCAAAGCCATTATAATATATAGAATACATATTTGGAAGAGCACAAACTGCTATCATCCATACAATTCACTTTGTAAACATAAATATACCTATTTTGAATCATGCCTGTCAACTAAAATGTGTAATACTTGCTAATTAGTGTTAATAACTAGCATGCTGAATCTAAATGTTTAAAAGGGGGGAAACATTTGCTTGATTGCCGTAAACTCAGTTTAACTCAATAATTATATGGAGGAGGGCTTTTTTCTACATGATAAAAATGACTGAACTCTTTTTTCCTCATGAATACAAAAGATTTTTTTAAAAAAAATACTACAGTTCAATAGTAAATGTTTTATAACCCAATAAAATATGCATCTGAATCCCAATTCCACAGGTTTGGAATTGTATAAGTGTTGAATTATGAAAATGACATATAAAGTTCAGTCCCAAATACTAGCAATCATATTCTTTAGCAATATGTATATAGTAATTGAATATTTCATAATAACTCTCAATTTTAAAGGCTAATAAAATCTGCATTTTACTCATAATTCACTGGAGGACAGGAAAAATGACTGGTTGTAACACCTTTCTCACAGTCGGGACTGATATGAAGATTATGCTTTATTAGTATAATAAGTTCATTCTTCGACCTCCATCTTTTTAGCAGCACATTATTTGCAGGAATAAAAAAAAATCACTTTACAGGAATCTTCATGCAAATGCATAACCAGGTAAATTAAGTTTATGTGGAAAAAGTTGTAAATTCAGGATTCTCAGTTTTAAAAGTTAGACTGATATCAAATGTTCCAACCAAAAATCAAATAAACCATTTGCAATGAAAAATAAATAAATCTCATGCAATTACAGCTAGTAGGCATTTATATTCTCTCAATGTAGGTATTAATGTCTGACAGTGGAGAAACCATATATGCATTTCAGAGAGGCTAAAGAGTCGTAGAGGACAGCAATATGGTTTCAGCAACCATTCAGCCCACCAAATGTAGCTTTGCATTATCCCAGACGACGTACTTTCTGTCGTTGTTCTATCTTTATTTTGGAGTCCTGCCTAAAGCCTAATTCACAGAAGAAACCTTAACAATTACTACCAAAACCTAGTGGTTGTTTTCCTACCTGGATCAGCTAGGTACCAGTACCCATAGGCAACTTTAGGATAACTCAGACTAGCAATCAAATTCAGGTTTAGAAAAGACATTGAGCAGGAACAGGAGCAACTCTGTCCTGTCCTGCCGTCTGTGTATGAGCAAACGGCATGGATCAGACAAGATCAATGTACCTGCCAGACATGAGGTTTTAAAAGTGACTTACTGCCTGTCATGTGACTTGGTGAGGTATGCTGCCCATTGGGTGTGCTTGAAGTGAGGTCAATTGCCATATTGGAGTGCTCCCTTTCGGGCGAGTGTTCGTGATCACCTGTTCCATAAAAGAGAAACTTCTATCAGTTTTTTGTATAGCAAATTGTTGTTTCTGCTCAAGTAAGAACATGCGCTTGCCGGGCTAGGGATGATATTTGATAGCACAATCCCTGCAGCTTAGAAGGGGCGCTTGCCGTTGCAAAAGAAAATATGAGCATTCCAAAAATGTAAAATTCATTGATAATGATCTCAGAAGAAACAGCAGGAAGAAGATCTTGACTTGCTCGGCATGATCAGAACTGTTTTCATATCACTTCTTCTGGGACAAGACAAGGAAATAATCACTCCATATACACACCCCTTTGGTGTCGTGCTCAGTTACTTGCTTTATCATACAATGTATCATTTATTTAAAAAATCATAGAATCACAGAATCATAGAGTTGGAAGAGACCTCATGGGCCATCCAGTCCAACCCCCTGCCAAGAAGCAGGAATATTGCATTCAAAGCAACCCTGACAGATGGCCATCCAGCCTCTGTTTAAAAGCTTCCAAAGAAGGAGCCTCCACCACACTCTGGGGCAGAGAGTTCCACTGCTGAACGGCTCTCACAATCATATCCCAAAGCAGAGCAAAAAGTTACATTCCATGCTGGTACAAATTTCACACATGATGCCCTATGCATACCATTACTTTATGCTGTCAGTATTTCAACAAACGAACTCATTCTATAGTATATCACATCAAGATGAAAGAAAATAGAAGGTTTTGAGCCCAGAAAGCAAAAAACAAAAAAAAAAAGTCAAAAAGGTTACAAAAGGAAAATAAAAAGGATACTTACATGGCATGTATCCATCAGTAGCCTCCGCTTCCATAGTCAAAGTGCAGTGCTAGAAAGCAAAGAGAGAGAGTATTAAAGATGTCAACCATTAAACATCTGGGTTCCTAAGCCAATCCACCACCATCATTATTTTTGGAGCAGCTGATTTAACCAATATCACTGCATCTGCAAAAAAATAAAAAATAAATCTGCAGGTATTCCAATATTCAGAAAGGGAGAAAATGTTAAGTTGACATCTCAGAAGCAAACCTGTGCTGAAGGAGAGGGAGAAGCAGCAGCCACACATGAGTTACTGTTTCACTGTTGCCTAGAAAAGAAACCCAACTGCCTGTCTGGTTTTGGTGTGTTTTAACCAAAATATCAATGCCATATTAATCAATTTTCTTAATCACACTACTGCTGTAATCCTTAACACACTTGTCATAAAGTACAACACGAAGTCTTCACTATTAAGTAGGAACTTTTTTGGACTAAACTGTAAGTATGGCAGAGCACAACAACATTTCCTTCTCTACACATTGTCCTTTTTTTAAAAAAAAATGGGGGGATATTAATATTTCTTCATCAGAGTTGCTGCAGGTATTTTACACAAGAAACCACTTCATTCTCACTTATCCCGAGATCTGTGTCTAAACTATTTCCAGACGGCACACTTTATATCAATCTCAAAAGTTTCTTCAAGCACTTTGGTAACAAGGAGCCAGCTATTACTTTCCAGAAACCCAAGTAACTGTATTAGATGACGCCCACTGGCTCACCACTTGATTAAAAATAAAAAATAAAACGAGCAGGTCAGTAATCACCAGCATATCATTTTTTTTAAGTGGAAACTTTAAAAGGAAGACAAATCATGGTCAAAGAAGAATTTCCATTTTTCCTCCCAATCCCCAGCTCCTTTTTGCCTTGAGTTTCAAAAACTCTCGCTACACCAAGCAGTTAAATTATTCACAACGAGCCATTTCTGTATTGATCGCCAAGTATATTTAGCCCCAGCTCCTGGAATTTCTCCATTACTTACTGGAAAACAGGCAGCTTCATTTCTTGTCTCCTAAACCACTTCCCTTCACCTCATCCCCCTCCCTAAAGAAGAAGAAAATATTAAATACTTTTCTTGCTGTTCCTCTCTCTGGCATCCTGCAGCTCAAATTCCCCAGATACCCAGGTATATATAATGCTTAAGATTTCAAGGGGCAGAGCTGCCATCCGACTGATGTTTACATGGCTTTCAAAATAACAGCCCTTGGCATCTAAGGACTTTTTGAAAACACCTTGCCTCCCCCCTTCTGCAGGTAACACACAGGGAGAGAAGAAGAAGAAGAAGGGGAAAAGTTGGTCAAAGACAGAGAGGGAGGAAGCCAGCCAATGAGATGAAGAAGGGGAAGGAAACACGGAAGGGGGGAGAAAGAGAGAGAGGAAAGTTGTATAGTTAAATTAAAGTTTGTTCACCATTTCCAGCTTCTAGTGGCAGCCTCTGAGAGCCAAAAGGAGAGGCGGAGGGACTGCTGGAGCACTGGAAGCCTGGCAAGATGGGGACGCCTTTTGAAAGAAGCCAGCCCCCAATTCCTTCTTCCTTCCTCCTTTCCTTCCTTCCCCCTCCCTGACTCCCCGCCTCCAGGCTTCAAGGGAAGAGGAAGAAAACTTACAGGTAGGTCATTCAGAGCCACTGGGTCGGTGGGGAAAGCAAGCAAGCAGGAAAAAGAAGGGAGGAAGGAAGAAAGGAAGGGAGGAGGAAGCTGCTTCTTCTCCTTCCCCTTTTTTCTTCCTTTTTCAACTTCTCCCCCTCCAACCTTCCTCCACTCCCCACCGCTCCAGGGCTTTCAGGACGGTCTGCTTGGGAATGGCACGTCCTTTCATGGAAAGATGAAGCACACACACACACCACAAAAAAAGGGAGAGAGGTCAGCCAAAGCTCCAGCAATGCGATTAAAGCAGGCGGGGGAAAACTTGATCCACCGGTTCCTTAAGAATCAGAGGGAGAGAAGGGGGGGGGGGGAGAGGGAAAAATATCTTGGAGGAAGAGAAAAATAAAAAAGGGGGAAAGAAAGAAAAAGGGAGATCTGATCAGGGAGTTGTGAAAGGACAGAGCGAGGAGAGAAGTCAAGAAAGCAACCAAGGCCAACTCCTCCTGAGTTTGGGCCCTTGGCGACAGGTGGAGATCTGACAGTGTGGACTCAGAATATCAAGGCAGGAAATAACCCAGAATATCAAGGCAGGAAATCTCACAACATCCACTTTGAATTTATTTATCTATTTATTTATTTCCCGAAGGGGGGCTCAGGGCGGCTTACAATGTGCACTGATATGATGCCAATACATAACAATTACAATCATAAAACCACAATTGAACATAAATCATAATTAAAACAATACATAAGCGGTCATTAAAACAGTAAAACAGTCTCATCAGCCGTATTGCCATTCCAGTCAATATCCCTCTACATACATCTACTGTCCGAAAGCCTGGTCCCAAACTCATGATTTTAATTCCTTTCTGAAAGCCAGGAGGGAGGAAGCAGATCTTACCTCATTTGGAAGTGTGTTCCATAGGCGGGGGGCCACAGCCAAGAAGGCCCTGTCTCTCATCCCCGCCAGGTGCATCTGTGCTGTTGACGGGAGAAAGAGCAGGGCCTCCCAGGATGATCTTAGATTGAGAGGTGGGACGTAGGGGTGGATGTGTTCAAACAAGTAAGCTGGGCCAGAACCGTATAGACCAGTGGTTCCAAAACTTATTTGGCCTACCCCCTGGAAATGAATTTTTCTAAATCTTCTCTTCTTCCTTTTATGCTTTCTCCACCCCCTTACAGTTCTTCATCGCCCCCAAATGCACCTGTGGCCATTACCACCACCCCGATGACTGCAGTGCCCACCAGGGGTGGTAACACTCACTTTGGGAATCACTAGTATAGAGTGGCGCAGTGGGTTAAAGCACTGAGCTACTGAGCTTGTTGACCAAAAGGTCGCAGGTTCGATTCTGGGGAGCGGCGTGAGCTTCCGCTGTCTGCCAACCTAGCTTCTGCCAACCTAGCAGTTCGAAAACATGCAAATGTGAGTAGATCAATTGGTACCGCTCCGGTGGGAAGGTAACGGCACTCCATGCAATCATGCCGGTCACATGACCTTGGAGGTACAACGCCGGCTCTTCGGCTTAGAAATGGAGATGAGCACCACACCCCAGAGTCAGACATGACTGGACTTGATGTCAGGAGACAACCTTTTTTTTAGGTCAAAACCAGCACTTTGAATTGGGCTTGGAGATGGACTGGCAGCCAGTGGAGCTGACATAGCAGGGGGGTGGTATGCCCTGTATGTCGCCCCAGTTAGTAATCTGGCTGCCAACCGTTAGACTAGCTGAAGTTTTTGAACTGTCTTCAAAGGCAGCCCCATGTAGAGCGTGTTTCAGTAATCTATTCGGGATGTAACCAGAGTGTGGACGACTGTGGCCAGACTTCCCAAGGTACAGGTGCAGCTGGTGCACAAGTTTTAACTGTGCAAAAGCTCCCCTGGCCACTGCTGAAACCTGGGGTTATTTGAGTCCACACTGCCATATATTCCACTTCAAAGCAGATACTTACTTACTCACTTAGGCGATCCCTCGTAGTCCGAGGATGATGGTCCTCCAAGGTCGGTGTTCTGGTGATGGGTACCTAAGGTGGCTGTGGAGCCCTATTCTTGATCTGCATCTTCTCCTGCAGTGATGACATCGGTTTCCAGGTGGAAGGTGGTCCCGGTTTGGTGCACCTTCCTCTTGGCACATTTCTCTCTTTCGCCCTCCATTCATGCCTCTTCAAATTCTGCAGCACTGCTGGTCACAGCTGACCTCCAACTGGAGCGCTCAAGGGCCAGGGCTTCCCAGTTCTCAGTGTCTATGCCAGAGTTTTTAAGGTTGGCTTTGAGCCCATCTTTAAATCTCTTTTCCTGTCCACCAACATTCCGTTTTCCGTTCTTGAGTTCGGAGTAGAGCAACTGCTTTGGGAGACGGTGGTCGGGCATCCGGACAACGTGGCCGGTCCAGCGGAGTTGATGGTGGAGGACCATCGCTTCAATGGTGGTGGTCTTTGCTTCTTCCAGCACGCTGACGTTTGTCCGCTTGTCTTCCCAAGAGATTTGCAGGATTTTCCGGAGGCAGCGCTGATGGAATCATTCCAGGAGTTGCATGTGACGTCTGTAGACAGTCCACGTTTCGCAGGCATATAGCAGGGTTGGGAGGACAATAGCTTTATAGACAAGCACCTTGGTATCCCTACGGATGTCCCAGTCCTCAAACACTCTCTGCTTCATTCAGAAAAATGCTGCACTCACAGAGCTCAGGCTTCAATGCTGGTGGTCTTTGGTTCTTCCAGCACACTGACATTTGTCCGCCTGTCTTCCCAAGAGATTTGCAGGATTTTCCAGAGGCAGCGCTGATGGAATCGTTCCAGGAGTTGCATGTGACGTCTGTAGACAGTCCACGTTTAGCAGGCATATAGCAGGGTTGGGAGGACAATAGCTTTATAACAAGCACCTTAGTATACCTATGGATGTCCCGGTCCTCAGACACTCTGTGCTTCATTATTTTGGGTGCGGGGGGGGGGGCAGCTAGGTTTGGATAGCCAGGATTTCGTTTCGGGGGGGGGCTGAATTTTTTTCAGGGGGGGTTTCGGGGGGGCTGAGTTTTGGGGGGGGGCTGAGTCTGAGTGAAAGAGGGTCTAGCCTAGCAAACCTTTTGTATCGTTACCCCAATACCCCCATGCATATGGGATATATTGAGCATGGTGATCAGATCATGATATGAATAAACATAACAGTTTAAATAATGCACCAGTAAGGCCTTTTTGTGAACCACCATGAGAATTTGGGGGGGGGGGGGAAGCCCCCCCGCATCTTCTTCCAGTGAGGGCATTGGTTTCCAGGTGGAAGGTGGTCTTGGTCGGGGTTGGCTTGATGCGCCTTCCTCTTGGCACGTTTCTCTCTTTCGCCCTCCATTCATGCCTCTTCAAATTCTGCAGCACTGCTGGTCACAGCTGACCTCCAGATGGAGTGATCAAGGGCCAGGGCTTCCCAGTTCTCAGTGTCTATGCCAGAGTTTTTAAGGTTGGCTTTGAGCCCATCTTTAATGGCAGTGTGGACTCTGATATTCCAGTTCAAAGCAGATATTGTGGGATTTCCTACCTTGATATTCTGTGTGGTTCTTTCCTGCTTCCAATAAACACATTACACAAGAAACAATGCACAGATATCTTTAGAAAAAGACGTGAAGAGAGATCTCTTCTCCTGGAGGAGCTGTGCAGGGAAGCCTGGCCAGGAAGGGTCATTTCTAAAGGAGGGGACAGACTGACTGATGGAGTCACAGCCCACAGGCAACCTGCCTTGGGTTTCTGTGTCCAACACGCACCTCGAGAGACCAAGAAGGCAAGGGATTCTTCGGGGGAGAGAAACAGCAACAAGTCATTGGGAGATGCTTTAGATGGACGCCCTTTTGCCACGCAACAAACACAAGACGCACACCAGACGCCCTCCTCCTCCTCCTCCCCCATCCCCCTCCCCTTCAAGGGTTTACCTCAGCAGCGCATGTTGCCCCTCCAGTCCATGGCACCCCGGTTGGATTGTTTGTTTGTTTTGTTAATGAGCCCCTCTCTCTCTCTCGTCGTTCTCTGCTTCTTGTTTGGCTTGTTCCCTTTCTCTGTGCCTCTCTCTCTCTTTCCCCCTTGAGCCGGTGTGGGAAGGTGTTTAGTCTTGGGAACTCAGGCAGCGCGGTGCCGTCGCTAAGGGTAATCCTGTTTTTTTACTTCCTCCATCTTCGGAGAGCGCGCAGGGTTAGCCTGGGACAACTGGTCAAACCCCGAGAAACCGATCCGGCGCACAGACACACACACACAGAGAGCGAGAGAGAGGCGCGCGCGACGCTCCCTCATATATACACACAGTGAGAGAGAGAGGCGCGCGCCTCTGATGTCCCCCTCCGCGCGCCTCTGATGTCCCCTCCGCGCGCCCAGCTGATTGACACAGAGAGAGAGAGAGAGCGTCGCGCGCAGGAGGAGCCCGGGAGCGGGGGCGCGAGGACCTAGGAGCGAGGGAGGCGGGGGGAAGCCTACAGAGAGAGAGAGAGAGAGGAGAGAGGCGATCTGGGCAGAAGGAGAAGAAGGAGCCAGGCAGAGCCTCCGCTCAGCGGACTCGGCAATCGATTACAGGACAAGTGCTTGCCGCCGCCGCCGCTTCTTTCTCCAGCCAAAGGCGCTTAAGGCTGCTGCTGCTGCTTCCTCACCCCGAGGTGCCAGGCAGACGACGGCTTAGGGCTGCTCGCGTTGGCCTCCATGGCAAGGCAGCGCCCTTCCACTTACACACACACACAATTATCCAAATCTATATATCCCCCACTAAGTCTCTGACCCAGGAGATCATTACTGTTTTTATTCCGTTATCTTCCAAATTATACCTGTATAACCTGGAGATCATTCCTTTATTTCCTTTCTCCAAAATATTCCCCAACTCTGCTGTTCTTTTGGGGAACATCAAGTTTTTCAAATTTTCCCTACATATATCCTGTAGTGGAGGATACCTAAACTATTATTTAGGGGACTCAGAGCGGCTTACAAGATATATATACATACACACACACACACACACAAACATACAATACAATATATCTTCTTTCTTCTATCTTTATCTTCTATCTATCTATATATAAATGCTCTGTGCATAATGAGTACCTTAAAAACAAAAGAACCAATGAACGGAATCACACCAAATTTGGCAACAAAACATCTCACTACACAAGGAGTGACCATCACTCAAAAAATATGATTTTGTCATTTGGGAGTTGTAGTTGCTGGGAATTATAGTTCACCTACAATCAAAGAGCATTCTGAACTCCACCAACAATGGAATTGAACCAAACTTGGAACACAGGACTCCCATGACCAGGGGTCCTCAAACCTTTTAAACAGAGGGCCAGGTCACAGTCCCTCAAACTGTTGGAGGGATGGATTATAATTTGGAAAAAAAAATGAATTAATTCCTATGCACACTGCACATATCTTATTTGTGGTGCAAAACCACTTAAAACCAATACAATAATTAAAATGAAGAACAATTTTAACAAATATAAACTTATTAGTATTTCAATGGGAAGTGTGGGCCTGCTTTTGGCTGATGAGATAGGATTGTTGTTGTTGTTGTTGTGTGCTTTCAAGTCATTTCAGACTTAGGTTGACCCTGAGTGAGGGCCGGGTAAAAGACCTTGGAGGGCCGCATCCGGCCCCCGGACCTTAGTTTGAGGACCCCTGCCCATGACCAACAGAAAATACTGGAAGGGTTCGGTGGGCATTGACCTTGAATTTGGAGTTGTAGTTCACCTATCTCCAGAGTGAACTGTGGACTCAAACAATGATGAATTTGTACCAAACTTGGCATGAATAGTCAATATGTCCAAATGTGAACACTGGTGGAGTCTGGGGAAAATAGACCTTGACATTTGGGAGCTTTAGTTGCTGGGATTTATAGTTCACCTACAATCAAAGAGCATTCTGAACCTCACCAACGATAGAATTGGGTCAAACCTCCCACACAGAACCTTCATGTTTTGAAAGGACATGGTGGCACAAGCCTCCCTCCAGCCAGGCCTGTAGCAAGGGGGTGGTTTTAGGGGTTCAACCCCCCCCCCGAAATGTTTCAGATTTTTTTAAAAAAACCTTGTTTACTCATGAATTTTAACTGGTTAACCAAATCCCCATGCTAAGTCTATGAGATGCAAAAAATTAAGAGTCCCTCCAGAACTGCAAGCACTATCTCAAGCAAATATTGACAATTTATTCACACTGTCATTACTTGCAGCAATAGCCGATTTAGTGAAGCAACCAAGTTGTGTGTGTGTGTGTTGAATGCTCTCATTAAGGAGGCCAGACTTGGTGGAGGTGGTTGACAGGGGCGGAGCTGCAGGCTATTGAAGGCTGGTCTGCCCCCTGCTGTGCTCTTTGCTTCAGCGTGAGCTAGGAGGCAGGTTTCAACCCCCCCCCTCCCCCCCTGAAATTTTCAACCCCCCCCCCCCCCGCAAAATTTTCAACCCCTCCCGAAAAATTTTTCTGGCTACGGCCCTGCCTCCAGCCTTGTGCGCTCTCCCTTGCCCGCACATGCGCACCATGCTGCCATACGTCGAGCATGCCTGCTCTCCCCTCTTCACTTGGAGTCTCACCAACAGCCGACCCCTTAGCTGAGAGGCCAGCTGAAAGTCCGGGCAATCACAGTGGAGAAGGGTTTTTGGTGAGAAGATTCACCATCTGTTTCCAAAAAGGAATAGATTAGGATATATCTGTATAACCTGGGGATCATTCCTGTATTTCCTTTCTCCAAAATATTCCCCAACTCTGGTCTTCTTTTGGGGAAGAACCCCAAGTTTTTCAAATTTTCCCTAAATATATCCTGTAGTGGAGGATACCTAAACTATTATTTAGAGCGTCTTACAAGATATATATACATACAATATATTATTAGCATACGACAATATCAGTATTTTATATTACTATATGGTACTATACCATTATATTGTAATATTACTAGTAATAAGGGCCTTCTCAACAGTGGCTCCGTGTCTGTGGAATTCCCTCCCCAAAGACTGGCCACCTCCCCCCTGTCCTTTAGAAGGAAACTAAGGACTTGGCTGTGGGACTTTGCATTTGACCATTGAACAGCGGCTTGTATGAATTTATTTATTTATTTATTTCAAAGTTTTCTATACCGAGCTTCTCACCTCTTAGAGGGACTCAGCCCGGTTTACAACCATAAAAACATACAATCAGTAAAATATCATAGTCCATAATTACAATAACTCAGAACTGACCATGGAACAACAGACTGGTTCAAGATTGGGAAAGGCGTACGGCAAGGCTGCATCCTCTCACCCAACCTTTTTAACTTGTATGCAGAACACATCATGCGATGTGCGGGGCTTGATGAATGCAAGGCTGGGGTGAAAATTGCTGGAAGAAACATTAACAACCTCAGATATGCAGATGACACCACTCTGATGGCCGAAAGCGAGGAGGAGCTGAGGAGCCTTCTAATCAAGGTGAAAGAAGAAAGCGCAAAAGCCGGGTTGCAGCTAAACGTCAAAAAAACCAAGATTATGGCAACAAGAATGATTGACAACTGGGAAATAGAGGAAGAAACCGTGGAGGCCGTGACAGACTTTGTATTTCTAGGTGCAAAGATTACTGCAGATGCAGACTGTAGCCAGGAAATCAGAAGACGCTTACTTCTTGGGAGGAGAGCAATGTCCAGTCTCGATAAAATAGTAAAGAGTAGAGACATCAGACTGGCAACAAAGATCCGCCTAGTCACAGCCATGGTATTCCCTGTAGTCACCTACGGATGTGAGAGCTGGACCTTAGGGAAGGCTGAGCGAAGGAAGATCGATGCTTTTGAGCTGTGGTGTTGGAGGAAAGTTCTGAGAGTGCCTTGGACTGCGAGAAGATCCAACCAGTCCATCCTCCAGGAAATAAAGCCCGACTGCTCACTGGAGTGAAAGATACTAGAGACAAAGTTGAAGTACTTTGGCCACATCATGAGGAGACAGCAAAGCCTAGAGAAGACAATGATGCTGGGGAAAGTGGAAGGCAAAAGGAAGAGGGGCCGACCAAAGGGCAAGATGGATGGATGGCATCCTTGAAGTGACTGGACTGACCTTGAAGGAGCTGGGGGTGGTGACAGCCGACAGGGAGCTCTGGCGTGGGCTGGTCCATGAGGTCACGAAGAGTCGGAGACGACTGAACGAATGAACAACAACAACAATTACAATAACACATTTAAAATAACAACTATATTTAAAACTATGGTGGTCAGTCATCATATTAAAAACAAGTATACCTCATCTTCCATCCACAATCCTAGGGTGCTGTCTCATTCATCGAAAGCCTGTCTCCACAACCACGTCTTCACCTGTTTCCTGAATGTCAGGATAGACGGGGCGGTTCTGACCTCCAGTGGGAGAGAGTTCCAGAGTCGCGGGGCCACCACCGAGAAGGCCCTGTCCCTCGTCCCCACCAGGCGCGCTTGTGAGGCCGGTGGGACCGAGAGCAGGGCCTCTCCAGACGATCTTAATAATCTTGATGGTTCGTAGGGGAGAATACGTTCGGAGAGGTAAACAGGGCGGAGTCGTTTAGGGCTTTATAGGTTAACACCAGCACTTTGAATTGTGCTCGGAAGCTAATTGGCAGCCAGTGGAGCTGGTGTAACAGCGGAGTGGTGTGCTCCCTGTACCCAGCACTCGTTAGTAGTCTGGCTGCCGAGCGTTGGACTAGCTGCAGCTTCCGGGCAGTCTTCAGAGGCAACCCCACGTAGAGAGCGTTGCAGTAATCTCAGCGGGATGTAACCAAAGCATGGACTACCGTGGCCAAGACATAAGCAATTTCGAAGTGACAATGAATTGACCCGGACCTGTATTTTAATTGGCATGTTTTAACAACTGTTTATTTAATGTTTTGGTTTAATGAATTTGTTGATTGTTCTTATCATTATGATGGCACCCAATGATGTTTGTTGTGAGGCCGCCCCGAGTCTCCCCTCAGGGGTGAGAAAGACTGGGTACAAGTATATGAAATAAATAAATAAAATGTATATTATATTATATTATATTATATTATATTATATTATATTATATTATTAGCATAGCACAAGAGACAAGGTGGAACTGTCCCCTGGCCCCCTCTCTCAATAAATAAACTAGTCATTGATCCTTGGCTCTTCTCATAGAATCATGGGCCATCCAGTCCAACCCCATCCTGCCAAGAAGCAGGAATATTGCATTCAAATCACCCCTGACAGATGGCCATCCAGCCTCTGTTTAAAAGCTTCCATAGAAGGAGCCTCCACCACACTCCGGGGCAGAGAGTTCCACTGCTGAACGGCTCTCACAGTCAGGAAGTTCTTCCTCATGTTCAGATGGAATCTCCTCTCTTGTAGTTTGAAGCCATTGTTCCCTTGCGTCCTAGTCTCCAAGGAAGCAGAAAACA